TTATAAAGAGTTTTGTAGCACAAACGCCATTAAAAGCCAGAATACATGAATTGGAAAAGTAGCATAGCCTGCACACCCTGCAGCTGGTTGTATGCGAGCTGCCTCACGAACAACTAAGAGTACGTGTGCTGAGTGCACTGTATTCTAATGTCCTAGAAGCAAAGTCGATGTCAGTTCGAGGCAGGCAGTTGGATGACCTTAACCATGGGGAGAATATTATTAACCTGCTCGGCTCTAGGTATAAACTGTACACGTAGTGCAATTCACGTAGAATCTTGACTGTAGGCATTACGGAGTGCCAATATTTCTGCATACTATGTTGAACTCCAACAGCGAAGTGGATTCAGTTCTTCTATCGACAGGTCAACTCAGAAATGAACACTTATCCATCCGTGTCGTTCCAGACATCCCATGAGGCGAGCGTTATCGAAATAATCAAAGCTAAGGAGACCACTGGAAGAAAACGTTAGCCAGAATCATCTTTCTCCACGGCGTTCCTGAAACTGAAGCATGCAATGAAGATGAACGAACAACTTATGATGGGGAACAATGGTGTTACCTTCGTGAAAAAATCTCATTGGATGACGTGCTAGTGAAAGTAGTGTCGCGACTACACACATTACTGAAATACAAAAAGGGTAACTCATGAGTATTGAAGGCAGTCCCACTGTTAAAATAATGAATTGTTTGACATTTCACCCAAAGAACCAAACTCGATGGGAATCGTGAAAATTACAGTGCGCCACCAGTGTGTCTGATGAGCCCATATAACCTGCTAATGTATTGAGTGACCAGACTCCTTACGCTATATGTAAATGGTTGCAAATTGGATTTAATACGTAGGCTACGATTCTGCCACCGAACCAGTTGCCAATTTCCAACCAAAAATCCATTAATCCTCGGCCACTCACTGGTCGGTGAAAATGCATGTAAGAGTTGCACAATTTCGACACGCTGCTGAAACCTATGAAGCTTTCGTTTATGTCCTACAATGTCCCAAACTTATGTGTACTGCTTGTCCCTTGTACTGCTAGAAATATTAAAACCACATTGCTGGATAACAGGGCATCGGTAGCGATCTTATCAGCAGGTCTGAACGTACATCAATTTGACCGGCTGAAACAACCCCACGCTACAGCATTTTGTGTAAGGTCGACTTTTAATACCTCGTTATGTTTTCGGTGGAGCGAAATGTCGTAAATAGGTACGCTTTCCAATCTTGTGTGCAACTCAAGAAGTCTGCCACTGTGAGATTTCTGAAAATTTAGCAGAAGCTTACACTGATGCCCCTCTAACGAGCAATATGATTTTACATTGGTATAAAATTTTCACAGAGGGTAGAGAAAATTTTGAAGACAAAGAATGTTTCGGAACGCCAATCTTGTCCATAAACTATTAAAATGTGGAATTTACGTTAGCTGTGCTGGCGAAAAAAAGAGAGTGGTTTTTTCCGACAGCCGAGGAATCGTGCAACGATATATTGTACCTCCACTACGGATAGTTAATCAGGCTTTCTACGAAGGTGTCTTGGAACGACTTTGAAAACTGCTCCAGTGCCACTAGATGAAGTGTTGCACTCTATAAGTCTACTCTCACGTACCGCTTGATTCCCAGGACAAAAAGGGTAGAACTCATTGTAGGGTGATTGGTAATCCTACTATTAAAACAGCCAATTTAAATGCACATAAATGACTTTTTACTAGGTCTGTAGACGTAGCCTTAATATTATTCAAAAGTGAATCAAATCAATTACAGCAGCCCATATTCCCGGTCAACGGTGAATCCGGAACGTTTATGAGACGGCCACAAGCGGCTTGCACTTTAACGATGAAGTGATTGATAAGAATACACTAGGGCGATGCGTAAGTTAGTCACAGTGAAGCGGGTAAACAAGCATCACTCTCGTGTTTAGCATTCTAAGTGATCGTGTACAAAGGAAATAAATAATGAGGGTAAAATGAAATATTTACTTTTGGTAAGGGGTAGAAAAAGTGGGATAAAATTGCACACACGAGATTCATTAGTTCGTAATTTGCAATGAGTTTTCACTAAATCTCAATGAATAGTTGAAATATATGCTCTTCAGCTGTTGGCCAGCAAATCTGCACAAAAGATGAAAATAAATTATCCAATATGATAAGTTGGCTTTCATACCAATTTTACACAGGCATAACGTACCACAGAGACTATTTGATATTTTAGGGGCAGAACGATTTTAAGCAAATAAACCCACTAAAAGTCAGGAGGATAATAATTGCTGAGTAAAATGGTACATAGTTTTGTGCCCTTTTAATATCCTTTAAATGACAAATCCATCTAACGACAGATTTGCGTTCCTTTCAAGCTGATGTTGGAATGTTTCGCAGCGCTTACGTTCATACCTGGTTTACGGCACCAGATTCCGGATTTGCCTGTCACTACAACCTCCATAGGACAGCCACAGGGACACCTGCACCTACAGAAGGACCACAGGTGGCTTGCACTGCACCACCCACAGCCCAGATCCACTGTAAACCCGAAGGAATAAGACCAGCAGGCATGTGGATGGGAATCATGTCTCATCAATGGAGCCGATCCACATTCCTTCAACGTGAACAAGAGCAATATTCGTGTTTATCTAACTGTGGAACCGTGCGTATCAGACGTACACAAACTGGCGGCTTCGCCGCAACCCACTGCGCATTCTTAGAGCTTAGAACGGTCACAAAGACCGTGCACCCCGTCCACCAGCAACGATTAACAGTCTCTCGGAGTCAATATATGGTGGATGGAGGTTGTTAAGCAGGCAGGCACTTTGTCAAAATTGACATCACGCGAATAGAAACCGGGGATATAAATGTACCACATATATCCGGTATACCATTGGAAAACTTACAACATAACTGTAAATGTACGGATGGTTACTTCGTTTATCGCCAAGAATATGCCTATAAAAGCTTGTTTCGCACCGTTGGTAAAAATCGTTTATTTATTTACATCAGCGTCTTTACACATTAACTTAGTCATTTGATTATGAGCCTGATACAGCCATTGCAAGCCCTCCAAGAACTTCCATCCTGATTTCTACAAACTGAGACAAGTTTTTCATCTACTTTCGTTTCTTGCTATGGTATGGAGACAGTTTCAAGACTAACTTACATTCGAGAAGTCCTATCCTGTCCTGGATCTTAGTGCTTATTGACCACTATATTTGGCTCTGCTTCAGGCTTCATTGAGCACCCTAATTAATAAGAAAGATGAAAGAGTTTTCCTCCTCCTGAGCAAAAATATAAAGATCTCATCGATGAACAACGAGGATTTCTGTACCTGGGATCAGTACCACTGCTAATTTCTGAAGTGGCACGCACGCGTTAGCTTACGTTCACCCCAGCCAGTGATGGTCTTGCTTACTTATAAGGTCCATGAATTTTAGATAACCGGGGTCCACTACTACAACTTGTTCACATTGTTTGCTACACGCTCTAGTGTGTTTCCACACTGTCGAGACGCAAGAGAAGCTTGTGGAATAGCGGTCCTCTCAAAGCGCACATTGTGGCAGTGAGTTACTAACAATTTATCTATTTGTTTGCCAACATCAACACAATTACAGACATTGTCCACATTTATTAGGTCTACTGCGAGTTGTATCCTAGCAGGTTTGAGTTTGGCACAGCAGCTACGCATCAACCATGCTTACATGCATATTATTGCTATGATCACTCACAATTTGAAGACGGTTTTCTATTTATGGAACAGCTGTTCATTGACTTTCGACATGGAACTGCATTACGGATTTTTTGAGCTGCAAATTATTATATTCAAATACTTAATGCATCACTTTGTTCATATTACAACAATGACAGTTGCAATGGGAAAGTTTGCCGACCAAATTGGCTCTTCAACAGAAACGGAAATGATTTGTGTCCATGGTATCAGCATAGTGGAGAAACACAGCTAGTCGCATCAATTGACGAAGTAAGATGTTGAGTTAGATGTAAAGTTGATTTGACACTTGTATACACCACAAAATGGGTTGTCATTCAATTTGAATCGAGGCGGAAACTGTGTCTGCGCGAGTACGATTGTGTACAAGACTTGTGACATCAGCTGCCAGACGATTGTGAGGAATTGTTCCGTTGTTTCCGCTTTCCTTCTCTGGAAATTGACCGGGGTTTCTCAGGAATAACTGCGGTGAAATCAGAGGCATACCATATCAGTAGTGAGCATTATGGGTAATGTTTTATGTATGCGCAACATACAAAAATATGTTGGTCACAGAATTTAACAAACCTTTGCTCTGGATTGTGTTCCTGGTGCCAGAGAACGACTGTTAAATTCAGTTTTATGTTTAGCGGCCCATGTGAATCCATTGACAGCAAGTAAATATACCAATTGTTGAGTTCAAAACCTGCATCCATTGTGTAGCTGAACCGGGAAACGTCAACAATAATACAGGTGGAATATGGCTCAGCGAATACTGATCATTATTTTAATTACCGTATTAGAAATATAGTATGAGTCAAACGTTTCGCAAGAGCTTAACTTTTTCGTTTGCATGCCTCTATCACCGACTGCGCTCGCATGTGCAAAATAAGCTGGACGCGTTTGACGGCCATGATACGTTAGACTAGGGTTTGGTTCGAATGTCTAGTACAAAATAAACGGGATTCAGACCCGCCATTGTTGTAACCGAGAGAATTGTTCTAATATTACTCAGTTAAAGGACAGCAAATCAAATTACAAGCAGCAGCTGTCAAAATCCGGAACATCTTTTCGTTGCACAGTCTGTGTCCCGCTGCTTGGCATTCAATGGTACGCTAACGCGCCGAACGAGGTCAGACTGTAAAACTTCACCAACGCGAGTAACTTTTGTGTCGAAAAGGCGTTACGATAACAGACAGTAATTCGGGCATAAGTTAGAGAGCACACCTGGCTGTGAGTTTCAGAAAAGCGTACGAAAAGTTGTCTTCGAACACAAGGAGACCATTAGACGCTCTCTACTGTGTTGTATTCATTTAGGCGCTAGTGTGCCATTTCATCGATTGAGAAGCTAGCGCTGATATACAGAGATTGGAGCACATTAGGACATCGCGCTCACCCAGAGTTAAGTCAAGTTTATACAGGCAACAAGTATATAACTCGTCAACCTTCGTTTCTCTGCGCCAGTGATCACAAGAGAAACAACCCTGTTGTATAGGCGGTCCCATATAATGCACATTAAAACTCAAAATGAAAAAGTTATGCGCCGATCGGAAGAATATTGCTAGGGCGAAACCGATTGCAGTGGTTCTGCAGAAACTGCAGTAAACCACTACGGAACGGCGCATACGAAACAACTTTTGTGACAGCTGATTGGTTTAATTCGCTAAGCAATTAACGGACTAATAGAGGCCTAATAGAGGCCTTTGATCCCTAACCCTTTTTATTTAGGTATAATTATTTGTTTGCAAAACACACATGTATATCATACGTCTTTAACGGAATTTTCGACAGAGTAAAATTAGCATGTCTGCCGCGAGGTGTCTACGGATTCTTCTTGATCTGGAATGTATGACTCTGGAAGGTATGACTCTGTTACAGCTGTTTCACTCCTATGCATAAAAAGCCGTTAATTAGAGAAGATTAGTACAGTGGAACAGATTTATTTATTTTTATTCAAATGAAGTTCAGTTATTACACACACCCGGGTTTCGTGGGTCTGTCAATTCTTCCTCGGGCAAAATCCGATAGACATAGGGAAAGCTGTGGTTTACGCGTGGCAATGTCAGGGAACTAAATACATGTGGAAGTTCTTGGAAACCATATTCACGAACATCCACTTTTTCTGTTTTGACGTTTCGGACTAGTGCATTTTTGTGCTAACTTTTATCCCCATGATCAAATTAACTTAACGGCGCTCGTTATAAAGAGTTTTGTAGCATAAACGCCATTAAAGGCCAGAATACATGAATTGGAAAATTAGCGTAGCCTGCACACCCTGCAGCTGGTTGTATGCGAGCTGCCTCACGAACAACTAAGAGTACGTGTGCTGAGTGCACTGTATTCTAATGTCCTAGAAGCAAAGTCGATGTCAGTTCGAGGCAGGGAGTTGGATGACGTTAACCATGGGGAGAATATTATTAACCTGCTCGGCGCTAGGTATAAACTGTATACGTAGTGCAATTCACGTAGAATCTTGACTGTAGGCATTACGGAGTGCCAATATTTCTGCATAATATGTTGAACTCCAACAGCGAAGTGGATTCAGTACTTCTATCGACAGATCAACTCAGAAATGAACACTTATCTCTCCGTGTCGTTCCAGATATCCCATGGGGCGAGCGTTATCGAAATAATCAAATCTAAGGAGACCACTGGAAGAAAACTTTAGCCAGAATCATCTTTCTCCACGGCGTTCCTGAAACTGAAGCATGCAATGAAGATGAACGAACAACTTATGATGGGGAACAATGGTGTTAGCTTCGTGAAAAAATCTCATTGGATGACGTGCTAGTGAAAGTAGTGTCGCGACTACACACAATACTGAAATATAAAAAAGGTAACTCATGAGTATTGAAGGCAGTCTCACTGTTAAAATAATGAATTGTTTGACATTTCATCCAAAGAACCAAACTCGATGGGAATCGTGAAAATTACAGTGCGCCACCAGTGTGTCTGATGAGCCCATATAAGCTTAGTTTATAAACACAGTCATTCTCATCAATGGTCAAAGTAAGATGTTGAGTTGGATGTAAAGTTGACTTGACACTTGTACACACGACAATATGGGTTGTCATTCAAATTGAATCGAGGGGGAACTGGTGGCTGCGTGATAACGATGGTGTACAAGACTTGTGAAGCTAGCTACCAGGCGATTGCGAGGAATCGATCCGTTGTTTCCACTTTCCATTTCTGGAACTTGACTGGGATTTCACAGGAACAGACAATGAAGTTCAGACATAAGTTACGAGAGCACAGCCGGCTGTGAGTTTTAGAAAAGCATATGAAAATTTGCCTTCGTACACAAGGAGACCAATAGACGATCTCCACTGTGTAGTATTCATTTAGGCGTTAGTGTGCCGTTTCATCGATTGAGAAGCCGGAGCTAATATGCATAGATTGGAGCCCATTAGGACATCGTGCTCATCCAGAGTTAAGTCAAGCTTATACAGACAACCAGTAAACAACTTGTCAATGTTCTTTTTGAGCGCCAGTGATCACAAGAGAAACAACACTGTTGTATATGCGGTCCCATATAATCCACCATGGAACTCAAAATGAACAAATTATGCTCCAATGGGAAGAGTATTGCTAAGGAGAAAAAGATTGCAGTGGTTCTGTAGCAACTGCAAGACACCACTACGGAACGGCGCAAATGTTACAACTCTTGAGACCGCTGATTGGTGTAATTATTTAAGCATTTAACGAGCTAATAGAAGTCTTTCATTCCCTAACACTTTTTAGTAAGATACACTTATAAATTTCTTTGCAAAATACACATATATATGTATGTCATATATCTTGAACGGAATTTTCAGCGATGACTAAATGCACCATACCGTCAGATTGGCGGCATAGCAATGGGTAGCCCATTAGGTCCTGTGTTTGCCGATTTCTTCATGCTGATGGTAGAAAGATGCATTTCTACGGAAATAGCCCAGGTGCCCTACTACAAACGATATGTCGATGATATCTTGGCTTTCTGTTCGTCGGAGCAGCAGTTCACACATTTGATAGAACGGCTCAATGGTGCTCATGCTAAGTTACGGGTTACATGCGAAATAGAGTAGAACAATTGTCTGCCATACCTTGACATACTCATAAGTCGCAGGGATGATGGATTGCTTAAGAGGTCCATTTACCGAAAATAAACTTGGTCCGGTCAGTACGTGCAATTCACCAGCTTCACACTAGTGCAGTACAAGTGGACACTTGTGAAGACTATTTAATTGTGCCAGATGAATTTGTTCGGCCAACTGTCTGGACGATGAGCTAGTGTTAAGTACACTTATGGCGAACGGCTACCCTCGAAAATTTATCGAGAAACACAGCCAACCGCGATGGCCAAAGGACTTGGTGCACACGGCAGCTAAGAAAGTGTAAATCGCGTTACCTTTCAAAGTGACTTAGCCACGCTGAAGACAACTAAGCGTATAATTTCGGCTACACAAGGAAGTTATTATGCTGCACAAGTTGTCGTCATCAACCCAACCCGAAATTTGCCCATACCTCCAACGAAGGAAGCTCAGCCTATTGGGGCCGACTCACACCGTGTATACCAATTTGTATGTGACTGCGGAAAAAGTTACATAAGCAGAACTAATAGAACGCTGACTTCCCGAATAAAGGAACATGTACCAAGATGTGTTCAACGTGAAGTTGCTCAGATTGTCTACCCTCGTCAGATTCCATGTTCGCGCAGACCGCCGGCTTCCTCGATAGGCAAACACCTATTAGACTCGGATCACCAATTAGAGCTGGGCTCAGCGTTTAAAGTTGTGTTACGTCACACTAATCCCCGCTTCCTTCGGTTTGTTGAGGCTGTCGCTATAAACCAGATTAAGCCAGCCTTGTGCGTTCAGAAACAATTATTTGCCAGCCTAAAGCTGCCTTGGACGTAGGTGTGAACTTCCGTCTTTCGTTTTGCACCTTAAGCTTGTCTGGTTGCACCCAATGTAAGCTATATCTATGCATATCTGTTATTGTTAATGGTACTGAGGAGACAATACGAAATGCATGCATCTACCAGTCTTCGTCTGCTTTCCGGGCTTTTAAAATGATTATGTCTGCCGCAAGGTGTCTATGAATTTTTCTGGTTCTGTATTGATAGCCAGTCATGAATTTTTGTTACAACGGTTTCATTTCTATGCATAACAACCCTTAAATTAGATAAGGTTAGTACAGTAGAACACAATTGTTTACTTTTGTTCAAATGAATTTTATTACACAGACACGCGGGTTTCGTGGGTCTGACAATTTTTCGTCGGGCAAAACCCGATAGACGTCTGGAAATTAATTCTCTTTTAAGAAGTGAGATGGGTTTCGCGTGGCAAGTTCAGGAGAACTAAATACATGTGGGAGTACTTGGAAGCCATATTCACGAACCTCTGCTTTTCTGTTTCGAAGGTGCGAACTAGTGCATTATTGTGCTAACTTTGATCCTCCTGATCACTTTAACATGACGACGCTCGTTACAATGAGTTTTGTAGCACAAGCGCCACTAAAAGCTTATCCCCATTGGGAAATAGATTACGGAGAAGATCTGGCCTGAATTGGAATGAAGTTCACATTGCTTGGCTTATTTGTGTGCATGGTATTGCCAAATCACAAATTGCTGTTTTGTTGCGGTTTCACAGTGGTAAATTCAAGCCTCCTCCAGAGTTGATGTTAATAGTTGCTACTTGCCCCATTCTTCACGCATATGTTTGATAGTTGCAGGTGAATTCAAAAAAATGCTTTCCTTCGTTTCCAAATTCATATTCTCGCAACCTACCATACGTACAACATAAACATAAAACATTTCCACGATGTCGGTTAACTTTTTATTATTATTTGTTTTTATTACTGCATGCAGCCTAATCCGTTAGCTGTTCCGATCATCGTCTCCCCAGTGACATAGTTTCATGTCAGGTCTTACCCCGACAAGTTCACTACACCTGTGCACTTTCTATAGTGATGCCCTACCCCAGTGAAACTCAGTAGTATACAGTTTGACATATGTGCACCATGAACAGGGTTACTACTGCACCCACGACAAACTTCCATAGGTCTCATGCTGTCAAAGATTACAGTTTTCTTACCATTCAATGAAAAGCAATTTTGGAAAGAATGTGGAACAATCAGTGGATTACGCTGGGACAACACTGGGACACAATTCGGCAGTTGTCATCATCACGTTCTACAGCCAGTTTTCGAAGTTATCTAAAACTACTCATAACTTCAGCAGGTTACATCTTATCCATAGTGCACCTTAATTGCAACACTGATATTTTCTTTATAGGGCCAAATTCTACAACCCAGTATGTATGAATTGGCAAAGTAGCATAGGCTGCACAACCTGCAGCTGGTAGTGTGCGAGCTGCCTCACGAACAACTAATGATATCTGTACTGAGTGCACTGTATTCCAGTGTCCTAGAAGCAAAGTCGATGTCAGTACGAGGCAGGCAGTTGGATGACCTCAACCATGGGGAGAATATTAGTAACCTGCTCGGCGCTAGATGTAAACCTGTACATGTAGTGCAATTCACGTAGCATCCCTACTGTAAGCATTACGGAGTGCCAATATTTCTGCTTACTATTCTGAACTCCAACAGCGAAGTGGATTCAGTTCTTCTATCGACAGGTCAA